CTCTAGTTCCACCCACGTCATTGCAAATGGCAAGATTTAATTTTTTGATGGCTTCATAATATTCCATTGTGTATATATACTACATCTTCTTTATACATTCATCTGTTGATGGACATCTGGGCTCTTTCCAAAGTTTGGCTATTGTGGACATTGCTGCTATAAACATCGGGGTGCACGTACCCCTTTAGATCACTACATTTGTATCTTTGGGGTAAATACCCAGTAGTGCAATTGCTGGATCATATGGTAGCTCTATTTTCAACTTTTTGAGGAACCTCCATACAGTTTTCCAGAGTGGCTTTACCAGTTTGCATTCCCACCAACAGTATAGGAGGGTTCCCCTTTCTCCACATCCTCGCCAACATCTGTCGTTTACTGACTTGTTCATTTTAGCCATTCTGACTGGTGTGAGGTGGTATCTCATTGTGGTTTTAATTTGTATTTCCCTGATGCCGAGCGATGTTGAGCACTTGTGTCTGTTGGCCATCTGGATGTCTTTGCAGAAGTATCTGTTCATGTCTTCTGCCCATTTCTTGATTGGATTATTTGTTTCTTGGGTGTTGAGTTTGATAAGTTCTTTATAGATATGGATACTAGCTCTTTATCTGATATGTCATTTGCAAATATCTTCTCCCATTCTGTCGGTTGTCTTTTGGTTTTGTTAACTGTTTTCCTTTGCTTTGCAAAAGCTTTTTATCTTGATGAAGTCCCAATAGTTCATTTTTGCCCTTGTTTCCCTTGCCTTTGGTGATGTGTCTAAGAAGAGGTTGCTGCCGCTGAGGTTGAAGAGGTTGCTGCCGCTGAGGTTGAAGAGGTTGCTGCCGCTGAGGTTGAAGAGGTTGCTGCCTGTGTTCTTCTCAGGATTTTGATGGATTCCTGTCTCACATTTAGGTCTTTCACCTATTTTGAGTCTTTTTTTGTGTGTGGTGTAAGGAAGTGGTCCAGTTTCATTTTTCTGCATGTGGCTATGGAGACTTTTGGGTTTTCCACATAAAGTATCATCAGCAAAGAGTGAGAGTTTGACTTCTTTGCCGATTT